GTGAGATCTGAAAGAGAACTTCGGAGAGAAAGAAAAGGCCTTGTTTTTGTCCTCCTGATTAGACATAGGCTACATTACTTGGAATTAAGAAATCCTTGGACAAATGGTTTGAAAACAGCAACCCAAGCAGTAAGTTTGCATGCTGTCTCTTTTCTTTGTTTCCTTTAATTTATTTTTTTTAAAGAAAGTTTGATCATTTCCTCTGTTGGGATCAAGGGAATATGTATATGAATGATTGTGATGGTTTAAAGATGATTTAATGTGTATTAGTGCCGTTCCGTTGGCTTTTTGTTCAACCTTGCATTGGACAGCCACTGTTTGCATGGCAGACTAAAATAGCGGATAGCAGAGCGACTTGATCCAGTGAACTTTAGCAAACCAGCTGTTCTGAATTGACTTTTTGACAAGGTTGCCATTGTATGTTCTGGCTTGTTAAATCTCACGCAAGTGTATTCAAAGTACTTGATTTTGCTTGGATATTATGCATTATTGTATTAGTTTCTCCTGCTGTTCCTCAGGACTGTCTTTCTCATGTTGCCTTCCTTTACTATGCAATGCAGCTTTGTAAAATGATAAATGTGCCCCTTTAATAGTTGTCAAGTTATGAATACAATATTTGTATTATAAAACTTCTCTATAAGTTAACATGAGGATGCTATTTCCTATTAATAATGAGTTTGAATGGTGGCTGTGATACACAAAAAATGAAAGTGCAGTGGCTTAAATATTTGTAAAAAGTATTTGGACAGTTGAGCCTCGCTTAAAAATATAATATTTTTAATATTTTCATACTGTTCAAAATTATGCAAAGCATTTTGACTTTTTTTTCAAAGTTAGTATAATCATCATACATTAGGAAGTTGGGCTACACTTTATTTTAAGGTGTCCTTGTTACAGTGTAATTATACATTTAAGTACTGAGTAATATTAATTAAATACATGTACTTACTATAGGGTTAGGATTATTTAGGGTTTGGATTAGGGTTACTTGTATGTAATTATGCTTAATTAATTTTTATTATAATAGTAAGTACATGTAACGTGTAACAAGGACACCTTAAAGTAAAGTGTTACCGGAAGTTGCACCTGTTGTTACTTGCTAGGATCACCTGTGTGAATTTGAGGTGAACAGACTTCATACATCCTTTAAAAATAACTTTGAGATAGATTGGTTTATGAGAGAAGCTAATTTGTTTGTCACTTGTTTTGATATTTTTTAAAAGTGATTTAAATGTTCAAATACTTTTGGGGCCACTGTGCAACTCAACCTGCTTTGTGTAGGACACGGTTCATGACCTCACGACCGGCATTACACAGTGATGACCTTTCCAAGACATCGACATATCATTCATCTGAACTACGTATGGTTAGTTTGTATACATCCTTAAATTTATGTAAGCCTTTAAGAATCCAGAGCTTTAATTTTAGCCATAGCTGTTTTTATTTGTAATGCTTTGTTCAGCAAAAGGCTGATCGGTGTATCAGGATACAGAATACAATTAACATTTGAAGTAATATTGCTTTAAAACATTATATATATATATATATATATATATATACACACACAATATGTAATTTAACTAGGTGGTGGATGAAGATTTCCAAGCCTTTATCATTGAAGATTATTCATTTATGTGTAATTCATGTGTAGTTTAGCTTAGTGCTTGCAGATCTTTTGGGTGCAAGCAGGGTAAGGAGTAATAGAAATCCTGTATTACAATATCTTCAATATCTTTTAAACTATTTATCAGAGACCCCTGGTACATATTGCATAACACTGAATACAGCATTTTAAGCCAGGCCTATTATAGTAATGCGTATAGTACCATATTAATGCATTTACATATTTTTGTGACGCTTGCATTGCAAAGATATCAATAATAATTATTATTATTGAGTTAAATGTGAACCATGTGGTTAAATGTGGACAGAGAAACCATTAAACCATTCTTTTTAACTTTAGCAGGTAATTTAATACTCTATTTCTCACAGAAAAGATCAGAAAATACTTCTCACTGTTACATCGATGTAAGATTTTGAATAGGTAACAGAATATGTTTGTGTCCATATACCTTATACTTTATTTGTTCTCCCTCCTTAACCCGAAGTAGGCTGGATATACAAAGGGAAAAAAATTTTTTATGCATTTTTGCATATAAAGAAAACATAAATGACAACTAGCAAGCAGATGATGCCATTTGCTGCAGTTGATTTATATTCTGTATTAGTAGGAGACTGTTTATAAATATATAAAATGTTTTTTATAATATATATAGCCCTCTTGATCATTATATATATATATATATATATATATATACACATTTAAAGTTGATTAGCAAACAACTTTGTTTAGCACTCAGATCGGCTCTTTTGGAAATATGTTTAATTGACGTTTCAGGAAGAAAGCACCCACTGCTTGCATTGAGTCTTGTATGATTCATGCAACACTTCGTAAACTGACTGTTGCTTTTCAGAAAGGAAATGGAAAAGGTTTTTTTCCACTGGTGAAATTGTTAGGTGTAATTTAAGTCAGAAAACTCAGGAGAGAGTATATGTTGCATTCCAGTGTGTTTTGTGCAGGTGCACAGATGAAGTTCACAGAACTATGACCATTTGGACCATATAGCTTTACACCATAAATAGCAGTCTAAAAAATTTAACTTGATCTTCAACTCTCAAGAAATCTAACTGCAGACTACTTACTGCATTGTAAATCCCCAAAGCGCTGTTGTCTCACAAAGAGAATTTCACAAGATTAAACAGGCAAGACAACCCTTTTCTTTTTTTCATATACCTCCAGTATCAAACTTTAATTTATACTGTTTGTGGCCCTTGATTGTTTTAATTATCTTATAGCATCGCTATGCAATTATGCTAACTGTAGAGTATATGACATCTTTGTTTAGTAAGACAAAATTATATTTTTCAGTCACTTATCCTAAATAAGTTCAAGAAAAGTAGAAAACATTTACTCATCACAAAATGTCATGATTCTGTAACATGTGTCGTTGCACTTGCATCTGTTTTTGCTATCACCTGGCTCTAATTTCGCTGGAACTGCCATTTGATTCGGATTTATGCATTTCCATGAAAGTAAAATATTGGCAATGCTATGGCTTTGCTTTAGGGAGGAATGAAAGAGGTTTCAAATGAAAAACACATGTTCTCTTCATACCTAAATTTACAGGCGTGTGAATATAAGCCTGCATGGCGAATAAGATCCATTCACTCCAGTAGTACGTAGTCTGCCAAATAAAATGCACTATTGTAGTTGTGCTAAATTCAGATCTGAATTACATAAAGCCATACTCTTCTCTGACTTGCATTAAGGTGTAAGGTGCATAATGGTGTAGAAATAATTTTTACTCAGAAATTGCTAGTAAATTTCACAAACAATTACAAGAAAGGCAAATAACACGCTGAATTAAACGTGAAATTCTGAAGTAGAAAAACTGAAATAGTGTTTTGTTACAAAACATACTCCAATAATTTTTTGTTTTATTGACGACTTCAAAAAAAAAACTTTTTACAGTGTAGAAATGTTTGGAAAAAGTTAGTGTCATCTAATCCTGAAGTTGCACAAATGCTTACATCTCCAAACTGTGCAGGATATTGAAAAACATGATTGTGAAGATCACACTGTCATCATTTTTGAAGTCTATGATAAAATCTTGACAGTTAATTGCAGTGAGCAGTGAAGGGAGGCTCTAAAGCATAACCGAAAGTGCATATAGTTGTCTTGAAAGAGCCCTTCACTGTAATTTTCTGGTTATTTGTTTGGTTAAGTGACGATCCCAGATCTTGGAAAGCGCTCACTTACAGGACCACAAATTGAAACCAGATTTTGACACTGATGTGCAATGAGATTTAATTGAGGCCTTTAGATAATGTATGGCCTATCAGTCCTCCAATCTATATGAAGCTGTCATTAGCTTATCTGCTGTATTCTATAATGAGAGACTGGTTAGAGTTAGGATTTGTTTATGTTCAGAACAAAGTTTATAGGAAAGCTATTAATTTAGTTAAAACCTGCATAAACGGTTTTATTGTAAATTATTGTTAAAAATCTCAGATTTGAAAAAAAGCATAAAATTAATATAATATAGTTCGCTAATATCATATAATATTCTATACTACATAATTATTTTAATGATTTAAAAATAGTACTTAAAATTGTGTAACTTTAATTTAATATGATATAATATAGATTATAATAGACTATTCTGTAATACAAAAATATAAATTAATATGTAATTATTTATTGACAAGATTTTGACACTGATGTGTGATATTTAATTAAAGTCATAAGATATGACCTATCTGTCCTCCAATCTGAAGTTGTCATTTAGTTTATATTCTATAATGACAGAATGGTTAAAATTAGAGTTAAGATTTGTTTATGTCTAGAACAGGGGTAGGCAAGTTCGGTCCTAGAGAGCCGCAGTCCTGCAGAGTTCAGCTCCAACCCTAATCAAACACACCTGAACAAGCTAATCAATGTCTTCAGGATTACTAAGGCTATAGGCAGGTGAGGTTTTTTTTCAGGGTTGGAGCTGAACTCTGCAGGACTGCGGCTCTCTAGGACCGAACTTGCCTACCCCTGGTCTAGAACAAAGCTTATATGAAGATTATTCAATTAGTTAAACTTGCATGAAATGTTATTTTAAATTATCATTAAAACCACTATTTTTTGTTAAAAAAGTATAGTATAGCTTCAATAATATAATATAATATCTAATTATTGTAATGACTTAACCTGATCTTGACACTGATGTGTTATGCTATTTAATTAAGACCTAAAGATATGATCTATCTGTCTTCTAATCTGAAGTTGTCACTAAGCTTCTCTTAAGCTATATTCTATAATGAGAGACTGGTTAAAGTCCTCACAAAGTCCTAAACAAATCTTATATGGAGACTAATAAGTTAGTTAAACCTACAGTACATGAACTTTCATTGTTACATTTAGTATAACTTCAATGTAATATAATATAATATGCTGTAATATAAAAATAACATAATATAAACATTTTAATGACTTTGTAATTAAAGCATTATATCAAATTACATTAATATGATACTATTGTATATATGCATCCTTTTCTGTCTGTGTCCATCCTGAAAAAGGC